ATGTTCTAGCGTTTGAAGAGATGGGTGGTTGATTCGGGTCTTAGTGGGAACAAAATTGCTCACCGAGAGGTAAGCATGTCCAACCGATGGGTTGCAAATAGGACGAAACGCCCATTTGGGTCCCACTGATTGCCACTATCAATCATTACTACATCAATCAGACACAGGTAATATTGAAACATTCGCACAGAAGTCCATATGTCAATAGAGATCACTCAAGGAGGGGGTGATAAAAACAAGAACCTAAAATTCAGTTTCGACTACAAATCAGGAAATCAGAAAGAGAATCAGGCAATGTCTAAAACAGTAACAAGGGGAAGACTACTCAAGATTGAGGCAACATTAAATTATCAGCATAATGAGATTTCAAAGCAACTGAATTCCATTCAGCCGACGAAGTCTTTAGAAAAGGGGGGTGATAACACAAAACTTTTAACTAAGATGCACATAGATATCAAGTTTTCATTGAGCACCCACTCACTCATCACAACTGGGATGACTTTTCAGGTAGGTGAAGCAATCAGAACGCTCAACCACTTTAATCCTTTACTGTCAACCAGAGTATCGTTGAAGATCACTACTAATACAACCGTTTGCAAATAGAAGGCGAAAAATAAGGTTCAAAGAGGGTCCTGGCAATTTCTGTCGAACTGACTAGAAACTGGCATCCTGAGTTGACCATACTCTAGAATTATATTCCTTTTTAATTTAAACTATTTGAAGAAGCTAAAATTGTCCAGAAAAAATGCCAAAATTCAAATGTGTGCAATTTCATTATCAATATTCAGTATAGTATATTATAAATTTCAAACCTTGTTTTACGCTGTACAGTACTGGTAGTAGTACAACACATCAGTACTCGTGATAATATTAGCCATATATTAGGAATAAGCCACAAATAAAGCGGGTGGGAAGGATAGCGGGGGATTAAAAAGGATTGTAACTCAAGAGGAGTGGAAGTACCTAAATAGTTGATTAGTCAAGGGACAACCGCCGTGGTATTGTTTCTTTCTTCTCTTCAGGCCATCTGTTTCCTTCATTTCTCCCTCCATCTCTATTGTTCCTCTTCATCATCTTCATCATTCTGAATGAGATGGAGGAAGAAAGTTACTCATTATAAGCTGAGTTTTTAAACAGATAGATATTAACATAAATGAATTGAATCGTGCTTTTTCATTTGTGAGGACAAAACTTAGTAATAGGTATTGTAAATGAACGACTAGTTTTAATAAAAACATTTCATCCGGTTAAACGTGGAAAGTATAGCTTTCGAATCTGATGTAAAACTCTATCCTGTATCACCTCACAGTCAAGGCTCACAACCACCTATCTCCATCACTCCGAATCAACAGTTGGGTTAAACAGGGGTGTTCAGTTTCGTTATTCCTCTTTAACTCTAAGATTCCAGAGACAACCTTGAAGGTATGCAGTGTAGTATAGACCTGTTACCAGGTGAAAAATTTCCAACCTCGAGTATACGGACGATATAGTTTTGTTGTGCAGCAACTTGTAAGCTACTCAAATCACACTAACAGTTAGCTATCAGTGTCTATAAGTGTGATATGTTGTTTGCATCATCCAGGTGGAAGGTGCATGCACAAAATTGGCAGAAGCTTTCAGCTTAACTAATCCACTGGAAATCGTCAAAAAGTTTATATACCGGAGTAGTCTTACGAGTGTTCTGATTGGTCTAACTGACAGTGACAGAGTGCCATATGCCACTCCGAGTCGCCTTCGAAATGTTGTGACACGAATATTGCCTTGAAAGACTGGATATATATATAGTGTCGGAGTGAAAAGTTTTGCTCAATGCCTGTGAAACCTCGCCTCTCCGAGGTAATGATGTTAGATGACTCTGTGCATTCAATCACTGTTGTCTACTAGAAATTTTTCACGTCCGGTTGAAACACTATGTAAGTAACTCTGGATTGAATTGGCATTTGTCTGCCCAAAATGAAAATTGTTAGTCGCTTAATGAGGTTATCTTTAAACACTGGCTTCAGTAGTTTTGAATTGCATTGCATATGTTATTTCAGCAGAACTGTCGCCGTTTGCTGTTCGCTGTTCTCAGGACTTGTTAAAGGATTCGAGAAGGTGGTCAGCGTATGACAAGGGAGTGTAAACAAAGGGTGTTAGGTTAATATCTGTAAGTGCCTTAAACTCTTTGAATAGTGCTAGAGAGATCGTGAAACTCAGTGGCCTCAGATTACAGCAGACATGGTTCGGATGATGTTGGAATCTTCTTATTTTTGCCATTACCAAAAAGTAAGAGGAAATGAGTGGGTGTTTCCCTGTGATCTATCTTTGAGGCTATTTCCATAGAAAACCATATATGCTTTTGTTCCCATTCTGTCTTTCGTTTTCTTTTGCGTTATTACTTTGTATGACGAATCTGTTGGTGCCTATGTTGCATCAAGTTTGTGATCTAAGGACAACGCAATGAAATCAACTGATGTGGGCTTACAACCCCATTAATTAATGAAACTCATCTCTAGTTCCTCTTGAAGTTTGTCCTGAACTTATTGAGTGACTCCACAAAATACACAGTGAAGCCACTTACGATCAAATAGGTACATTTGTTGGATGCTAGTTGTCTCTAGTCATTATGCAAACCAAGCAAAAAATACGACAAAGCTTATTGACACACTGTTTAATGACTGTAATAATAATGAAAACGGTACCACTGGATAGATGATCCGCAAACATGACATATATATATATATATATATATATATATATATATATAAGTTCAGGGTTGTTGAGACTAGAATAGTGGCTGGATGAAATCCATTGGTTTACGCTTAGTCATCACCCACTCTCCCCAACAGAAGTCCCTTCTCACTTTGACATGTTTACATATTGTTGAGGAACTTTGAACTAGAAACAAACGGTGGTCCATTATTTTATTTATCATGATGAAGAATTTATATGTAATGCCTTACTTTGGAAATTTAAGATTAGTGTATTACTTAAACTGGCTTCCAATCATGCTTCGGTTATTTATAAACAAATTAAATGAAACTGTGAATAATATTCGTAAATGAAAGCAACTTATTAGCTATCCGTCTAAAATAGAAATTCTACATAACTGTGAAACCATCTATTACCGAAGATAAACGACGACTTTGTAGAAAATTTTAACCGAAGCGAAATACAGGCGAGAAAGTAATCAATTTAGAGTGGGGCGTTTTTAGCTATTTCCTACCATCTCTATAGGGGATATATGTCAATCGCTAAATAAAAGATAGTTACTAAGTTTGAAACCTTAGCTAAAGATCACAAAAGTAGTAAATATTTCGTTTTCATCTGAATTATCAAAGAAATCGATCGAAGTGTGAAATAGCTGAAATTGTTACTTTTCAATAAGCCACATTCAAACTTTACTGGATATAATCAGAATACTAGTAAAAGTTACTAGTCGAACTTCTGGAAAGTAGCAAAAAGAAGCAATGGATATAGTTGTGTGATGCGTAAATTTTGGCAGTAAGATGGCTGCTAAAAGTTTTACTCTTCAACTATCAGAAAACCTCAATATCTTTAAGAGAACTGAATCCTCTGCACTACGAAGTATTCCATGTTACTTTACTACTAAAGTAGGATCACTGAAACTGAAAGAAAAATGATGCCGGTTGAAGTTTAATCATTTCCAAAATGGTATCGTACATATGTGGTAATATAATCGACTGAGTAATGGTAATGTTAAACAGAGCAGGTTCAACAAAATTACACACTAACATGTAATCTTCTACATAAGTTCATCAACTATCGGCAGCAACATGCTGTACGGATACCGGCCCACTATCGACTTCAACAAATAATAGAATGAGTAATGACAGAGTTGAAACAGTCAAAAGGTGATTAGATTAAGAGATGGTGACAACAATCTACAGTTTAATTAAGTTGTATATAATTCTTTGTATCCAGCATGTTAACCAAGAGAAGTTAGTCACTGAAGTATGAAAGGGATACAAATAAGAAATTTTTGCTGTGGCTAAGGTACAACAATTTAATTTCCTGTTTTGTTTAACTAGTTAGGATGTTCATTAAATATATAAACTTGATCCAAGACTCTAATGTACCGATTTCTACTTTGCCTACATGTACTTTGAAAATTTTACAGTTGCGACCTGATTGTCAAAATGTTTTTATTTATTTTAACCAGAAACAAAACAGTATTACCATTGGACATTGATAGTAGTAATCGGACAAAATACGAACCCAAGAAAAGTCAGGTTACCAAAACAAAAACAATACTTATGATATCCTATCTTAATTTATGGTTTACGTAAACATAATAATCATGTAAAAATGTATCCATCACGTTAAACAGTCTGTAAAATCCTTCTTTCTGTTGTAAAACATATTGGACAATGAACGTAAATATTAGTAGTTTAATACTTTACTAAAATTTTGATTAATGAGATTTTCCTTAGTGAACCACAGCATGCAATTATTTAATTCGCTTATGCGTGATATAACTAGGTTTTGTCTCGCTGCCATAATTATACTAACTTGCTGAATGTTTAACTACGATGTGTTTTTCACTTCAAGCTGTCAGAGTATGGTTTTTTTTGGACCAGTCGACAAAATTTTGAGAATGTCCATGAATTATCATTCGCTTAAAGGGGAGAAGGTAGAAAATAGACACTTCATTTGTAGATTAAGTTCGAACAGTGGGATGCTGTAAGCAAATTAGAGAGAAATATGTGGATCTGTGGCTCATCGGTGAGGCAGTTGATTTTCATCTAATGGGTCAAGGGTTTGAACACTGATGTACTTATCAGGGTCTGAGGAGCCCTCACACAGTAGGTGTGACTCACGCATGTGCACGCGGTAACTAAATGCATTTTGGTTTCTAGGGGAAAATACTTATCATCATGACATATTTTGATATTCAATTTTTTGGATAGGAACCTATTCACCTTTTCCATTTCGCATACATTTCTAAACGATATCGACAGTAAGTCTTACTACTATGTAGTTTCAAAGTAAGCAAGTCCTTTAATTCAAGTGATTCATGCAGACACAGGAATATACACAAAATGGCGATGACTGGAAGTTATGCATAAGCGAAAACACAATACTCAGTTTAGTACACATGTTCTTACAAACAGCAACAAAGTGTTAATAAAGAAATACTTTAGGGTGGGGAATCTCCGATTTATGTTTCATCTTACTCAAAACCTTTTATTTGAATATACTGGTAGTGCGATGAGTGGTACTGTTCTTCAAATGCTTCTATTGGCTGAAGTCTTCGATTGTTATTGCTGAAACTGCTTCTCAACGGACAATAAAACATGAGTGTCTTACATTTCTGTGTTCCACAGAAGAAGAAAGGCATCCTCTGGACGTTACTTCCAACCGCTGCTGAATGCCGTACAAACGCTTGAATACTACTTTAATAAAGATAGTAATGATGAATAATCACCAGTCGAAACACTGATGAAGTCTAAAAATGCCAGTGGGTAAACAGCATGCTGTTTATACTATTAACAGTATTTTTACGGTCACATAGTGTCTCAGACTTTCACACCCCAAACTGTGACACACACACACACACTTATCAGGTATAATGAATTCAATCTTCGGAATTTTCCTTCTCTAGGAATCCGTTCCGGTGACCAACTTGAAAACCATGAAATGTATAACCTAAACGACAATTTTGTTTGAAAAGGGATTCAATATGAAGTGATGTAGCGTATCGTTGGATTATTGGTTGAATTCTTGACTTATTTATCAAACAAAACGGTGGTGAACCTTTGTGACACTAGAGATTGTGACAACGGTAGGGATTTTGAACAAATGCAACAACCTATTATCATTTACAAACAACGTTGAATTTTATTTATACCTCATCTTCAGCTTCATCCTCTTCTTGTTCTTCTGCTTCATCTTTTCTACCCTCATCCTCTTCTGCTTCCTCGTCTTCCACATCTTCCTCCTTTCCTTCACTTATGCTTTCTTCAATACGTTCAGGGGTTTGTTCTTCAGGCTTTTCAGGTTCATTAGCTTCCTGTTCGAGAATATCAGCCTATTCAAGAGACAGTAAATCAAAAATCGAAATCTCGCCATAAAACAAAAAAAAGTGTTTTTGAAAAATCAAAGAAGTGCTATTCCACGAAATGGTCCATTCTAGCATAAAGTTACAGCTGTATAATCCATTGAATAATATGAAAAGTAAGTAACCTAAGTTTGATATTGAACTTGTAAGCGGTAAACAGCTGAATTCTTAACACACATAGATTTTCCAATCACTGGTGTTTATCGACGCATCTGCAGTTTCTGAAGGACTCATGCTTTAGACAAGACCCAAAGTTGCAGTTAGATATATTAATCGTGGGTCACTAGCACTTCCGATAGTTTAAATGTCGCCAACTAAGTACCAAAGACAATAAATTAAGATGTAACATTTCAGCTTTACGTAACGGGACGGGAGACGGATATGTATGAAACATTGTGTTAAAGATAAAACAATATGTAAAGAGAAATATATAAAAGTAAGTAAAACGCCACTAAGTACAAATGGATATTTGTCCAGGTTGCCATAGTTCACCTCACAAAATTAAGAGAAAAGTCAACTTGAGAGAAGACAGTGAAATATAAATAATGCCAACGTTTATTCAAAAAAATTTCATAAAATAAAAAGGAAAAAAGGAATAAGGGTATCTCACAACGCAGGGTTACGTAAATAGATGAAGATGAATGTATCTGCTGTAATGCTGCTTTCTTCAAGGTATATCGCTTAAAATCTCTAAGAACCCATTTTAATTTTTTATGGCCTTCAATGATGAATCTATCATTCATTTAGAAAAATTCAAGCTAACAGTTACAGACTTCATGGCTTGCAACTGTAACTTGGTTTGGATAACATCAACGGTTGTGCAAACTTACTCCACTCCAGTTAGTGTGTCTCTGGGATAGAAGTTGGCTATACATGTGAAACTTGAGTGTATCTATGCAATTGTGACTGATTTCCAAATATGCCACCTAAGGTCTCCATTCTTTATTTTCTGTCATTTCGAGTTATAACAAGTCGCAAGTAAATTATTAGTTAATCATATTGGTGAATGACTAAAAATACTGTTTATTGATTTGGCTCCTCTTAGTAAAAGTTTATATCCAGCTTTAACTTGATTGACTTTCTGTCTGAACAAAAGTCAATGATATTTAGATGTCATTGGTAATCATAAACCTTTAACTATTAAAACTACTCATCTAGAATGTATCTGTCTTTCTTTGCATGTCAACAATTAGACTCAATCACGATCCACTTATTTATGAAATAATCACTCCATATTTTGGCTTCAAGCCTTCTAAATCACACTTGATAGCTGCTTGATATATATTTCAGTATATCCGTCATGAGAATTGAAATTTTGCAATCTCTCTTACATTATACAATGTAGTTATTTTTAGATTACGTGTAATTCATTCCAACTGATTGGTGATGTATATTTTTGATCACTAAGGTTCATCAATCTTTCGAGAGTATGAAATCGTAGTAAAACTGTAAAAGCTTCATCACTTTAACATAACAACTCTAAAGATATTTACATGACTTCTTTATTCTTAACATATTTCTTGTCCTCAAGTTTATATTCCCCACGTACTGATATCAACTGGAGAAAAATCAAAAATCTAGTAGCACTGGACAGTTGTTTCGTCCCAGTATGGACTCCTAAGCAGTGCGTACCCATGGCTCCACCAGGGATGAAAGGCAGGACCTTGAAGTTCTGAGGCCAGCAAGTTGGTATTCAGACACTGGGTTGAAACTAAATGGTTCACATCTTCCTACTTTGGTTGGTTTGCGATATACCGCGATCTCTATCCATTGTTATCGCTGAGTAACTATCCTCATGTTCATCTTGGTTTGCCCTACTAGTCACAGTTTCTAAGAACCTCGGGAAGTCTCATATCGAAGCAATTCAAGTCTGTATTGAATACAAACTTAAATTTAGTCAATAAATACTCATCAACCTCCAAATTAAATATTTTTGGTTTGTTAAATAGTGATGATTTACGCTTTTTGGAAGATGAATTTATTTCTCATAGTACTAAGGTTAATTGTATTTTTAAAAATTTGTGTTGAAAAGCATAGAAAAAACCTTTGAAGAGTACGGTCACTTGGAAAATATAAAATTCTTTACATTTTTTTAATCGTTACGAGAGGTTATTTACAGTTGTGTCGCTTTCAAGAATGTTATAAGTCAACCTTAATGGTGCATACAAGCACAAAGATTGTTGTTCACATGATACCCTTGTCAACTTTAACAAATATCCTGTGATTAATTATAAAAAGTACAGTTAAAAAGCATTTTTTATCCTCTGAGATTATTCAATGATACTTTCTTTGAATTACTATTGAGAAGGTATATTGTACATAAACATATATAGCACAATAATAAAATTGACTTGATGTATTCTTCTGTTTTTTTGTTTATTGTTTTATTTGTATTTGTCAAAACCAAGCATTGTTGAATAAGGGGCACAGGAATTAATCTGTTACGTCTAATGAAAAGGTGACTGAATGTCAGTCAGTTTTAACAATATAACCAGAAAACAGAAAATAAAAATAATATTTTTGACCTCTGATAGGTCAGTTTGTCTTCGTTTATCTTTGTTACTCTGAAACGATTGTTTCTTTGTTCAAAATGAACAGTTGCGTTAGTCATGATTTTGATAACAATCATTGGTGAGCTAACATAAGTTGGAAATATGGAGCATTGGATTCTGACCCAGTGGCTCAATGGTAACGCGCTGGCCGCGAAACCTGAAGGTCGCGGGATCGATCCCTGCTGGTGTGGGGTCGTGGGTGAGCACTGCTGAGGAGTCCCATACTAGGACGGAACAGCTGTCCAGTGCTCCCAGGTTTCCTTTGTTCCTCCTACTGATATCAATCTACGATGAATAACAACTTGGAACAATCATTGGTATTTTCAGAACAGATAAATAATTTCTAAGTTCTACTGATTATATAAACTTCTATAGAACTGAATAGACTTTTAATTTGTGTTTTACGATTGCTTTCTTCGCAGAGGGTGTGTGAAGTTAATTCCATATTAGATTTGTTTATTCGATTTATAACGCAGTGATAAAGTATTATTTATTTGATGACGTTTCGAGCATAAATTATTGTTCATAATCATACCAATGTTTTACATCTATATTAATGGTGTGTAAAATTGCACCAAACTGATGCTTACACTATCACCCAGTGAGTTATGCGGTAGGATAGGAATCTTTCTACAACTTACTGAACAATCTTGCAGTTTAATAAAATGTTCACATATGACGTAGCTGATAAATCAATGTTAGAAACTATAAGGTTGTAAATTTGGATTAATCTTCAGGAAGACAGTCAGTTATTAAGGTAGTACTCATCAGGGACTGACATCAGCTGGGGAACTATTCAAAACCTAGGAGCACTGGACAGCTTTTCGTCCTAGTGTAAGACTCCTTAGCAGCACGCACCAACTTCAAAATACAGTCAGTAATTAGTTTTTAAGTTGTTTCATCCATCCCTTGTATGACTGGCTTTGCCAAATTTCGTGGTTAGATTCTCATAGTCTGTGAACTAGATCCTAAAAGCAATAAGAATACAGTCTGATGTTCAAGTAACTTTCGTCCAGTTTATGAAATGCAACAATGCGTTTCAATATTGTCCTTCAGGTTTAGAGTGGTGTGAGTTTTATTGTAATTACTTACTTCTCACTGCAATATGATGGTGATATGCACTAACTTATTTAGATTCTCAAAATGTAGCAGAAATGTGGAATATTCCAGAGTAAGTTGTAGTTGAAGGTGAGAATAAATTGCTTGATAAAGGAAGGTTACACAATGTCCACAGACATCCAAAGTAAGGAGATAAACAAAACGATTACAAAATAACATACAGTTACATCATAAGAGAATTATCTAGATTGATCGATCTTCTGCGATAGCGATGGCAAACGAAGAGGTTATACATACTTCTTTTGAACGTGTAAGGATTGGTTGAATCTTTGAATTGCTAATGCTTCAGCTATGCCTAGATGTCTTAGTACAAAATTTTCAAAGAAATGTCAGAAGGACCCAAGCCTTTGAGCGAAAGTTACTCTGGAATCTTTTGCCGTTTCTACTATAGTATTCACGAATGTATAAAGTTTTCCCTTCGCTGCAATCATCTCTAATCTTTTCTTATAATCAAATGGGTTTGTTGCGATGTTAGCAAATAGTTGGGATGCTTATAACACACCTTTATTTTTATTTTTCTCTTCAAGCCTCTTCATACAAACAGATCAATCAGAAAACACTGATGTTAACCAATTTGTTCATAGTTTTTGATGACTGTATTCAAGGGGATTATAGATTTTGGTAGTATTACTTCGGGATTATGAAGAAATTACTTGTACATAGGCCTGACTAATAGAAGTTTCGGAGAATAAAAAGTAAATCGAGGACAACCTTTAAATAACAACAACATCAATCATATCTAGCTGTGAATGACCTCATTAGACTGTACGTTTGATAGACTACAGTGAGCACTTAAAATTAAAGGTTGGAACTGGATGCTATTCACTGATAAATTAATACACTTTACTGATTAATGGAGAGATTTATTCATCACTATCAAATTGAACCGGTCAGAGTTTCAAAAGGAACATGGCTTCATCGCGAATAAATACAAGCACTGCTAATGTGGATGAATAAAGTTGAAATATTGTTACCATAATTCTTAATATTGAATCCCAAATAGTTAGAATGAAATAAACTCGCTTTTACAACTTAAGCTCTCATAAGTGTTGTTAAGGGGGGAATTACACATAACAGAAATACGTTCGGTCTACAATAACACTAGATAACTTTTTTAAACAATTCGATTAGTCAACTTCCTTAAAAGCCAGATTTATGCAAAAGGATGTAGATATCCTGGTGTTTATTATATCAGATGCCTCTGATCAGCAGTGCATGAAATCACAAGCATAAATTCATAATTTTCAATAACTTTGAAAATTTACTGCTGAACAGGTTTCTTGAATGAATGTACAGCATATGAGCCGATCCATAACCTTTAAGAAAGTGATCTTAGTGGTAACGTGGCTGACTGCAACACTAAGTGGTGTAGGTTCAAACCACAGGGGAAAAATCAGTTCCCTAGAGGTCACAGATACGACTTCCTAACACGTACCAACAGGTACGAAACTCATGTCAAGCAAGCCCTTCTACCATTAATCTGTTAAAGGTAGTATTCATCACGGATTGACATATTTTGGGGAACCATTGAAAACCTGGGAGAACTTGATAACTGTTACGTCCTGGTATGGGACTCCTCAGCAGTACGCATCCACAACCCGGCTACGGATTGAACTCAAGACCTCAAGGTTTCATGGCGAACGCGTTAAATATTCAGTCACTGAGTCGGAGTTAAGTATTGCTTTCGATAAACCCATACACTTGTAGACGTAATGGCACTAACAAGTTAAGAGTTATAATCATAATATATTGGTTCGAGTCACTACAATCTTTCTTAGTGAAATAAAAAGGCAACGACCCATAAAAAATCAAACTGACAGGCGAACAGAAAACACCAGTAATTACAAATCAAAGGGAAAATAGAAAAGTCGATTGAGTATAAACACAATAAAAATAATGATAATAATATATTTGCTTTAGCTGAGGCATAATTATGTTTACAGTACAGAATTCTCAGCATGGGATACTTCACAAGTTTACTCTATGTACAACATTTTTCATATATATTAAAAATAGTGCTGTTTAACAATGATATGGTTGTTGAAATGTTTAATGACTTCAGTGACATGATAACTGTTCGTTCTTACAAAGTTGATTGATAAGGCTATGTCTGACATGATTTTCTTTACACAATACACAAGCTAAATAAGGTGATATGGTTGAGTGTTTGTATGTAGTTGTGCGTGCATAGAGTCTAATATATTTGCTTCTTGCCTTCCTAGAGGGCAGAAATGGAGAGAGGTGTGGATACAATGGATGCTTGCCATCAGATAAAATATTTTTTGCTAGTAGTCTACAAGAGTTTAGTTCAGTAACCGCACTTATCGGCACGGCTAGTGGTGTAACACCTGCTTTACTAACAGCCTTCAAAACCCTAAGCAATACAACGTAGTTTTTTTCCGGAATCCAATCAAAGAATAAGGGCTAGGGGGAAAACATGGGATTTAGGGAAACGTAAGAGTAGAGGCTGAGTTATACCGGAAAATCTGAGTTTCCTTATTTAAAAAGTCAAGTAAAGGATTTTCCCGGAAACCAGTAAGACATGAAGGGACCAAGAAAGATCAGAAGAAAAGCATGCGCGAAGATGAATCACGTCTGATACATTCTCTACAACATAACTAGTTATAAGAAAAGAGTCATGGCGCTGAGGCAATTTACAAAGATCTTTTTCATGTCTTACGCTAAAACTAACCATCTGACATTTGGAGGGATTGAATGTGACGCCAGTTAAGGAAGACCAGTGAGCAATTTTGGTTCAGAGGTTATTAAACTCCGAACAACGTAGACCAAGTCCAATATAGCATCTAAATTAATGTGATAGATTTTGAGTTATAAATCTTAAAGTTTTTAGTGGTTTGTTGTGACAGCTTTTCAAATGGTAACATATGCACTCATGAAGTGTTTTCATTATATGATAAAAACTGTTTAAATGTTTGACAATTGAAGTTGAAGGGAAATATAACACTAACGGCCAATAATCAGATTCTCACCATTTTCTTTTTTCTGGAATACAGATTTACTTACTAGTACTCCAACTGTGCCATATTTTCCGATTTGAAGATGACATTAAATCGTATTCGTTAAGAAGATGTGTTATAGCATTTTACTTAATTGTGATCATTCAATAAGCGAATTATGTTATTAAGTGGTGTTTGTATCAGCACAACTAAAGTCGAAAATTTAGTGGCAAGCTATCAATTGACGTCGTAACAATCTGTAGTGTCTCCTGTAAGTGTAAATTACCAGTATTTCTGCATGAGTTTGTTGATGGTGTTCCAATGGAAGTAACTTTACTTACTTCCAACTTTTCAGGGACTAATTCCTTTCCTGGAGTGACTTTGGTCAGCACACGGTGCTCAGGTGATACACTTCTGTCACAACGATACTTTGGCAAGATACGAGGTTTTCCGTTACCTAGAGAAAAATTCATATAATCCACGGTGTGGATTCGAGATCTGTTAAGTATAGGATAACTTTAGATGACCAATGTCCACAGGCACAGGGAATAAGATAGTTCAGTGTATTGAACATATCTCATTTGGTAAATTGCATAATTCATAATATGGTGTTTGCTGAACGAATCTAAGCATATGAACAAAGCACTTGCCTGGAACTCACCAGTTTGTTTTACCTATAGTGCCTACAAGATACTCGATTACTTGTTAAATGACAGTTAAGTCATATGTCGGTCCGTTCTTTCCCACTCTCCGACTGTTAAAAATGACTGCTGGGGGTATAAGACATGAAAATACAAGTTGTGTATCCTGTGTCTTTAAATTAATGCATGTGCACGACAGGACCATTAGTCCAGCATCGTTGTCATTACTTACACAGTGAAGACAAGGCTATCGGCTAGATTGTAGATGGCGCCCAAACGAGGTGAACAGTGAAGTGATTTTGATATGTAGAGTCTCTATCTACCCAGATATATAATGTCAGCTATAGCAGCATAAGACTAAACCCAGATCTGACACTAAAGTATAAGACCTGGAACTACTGGTGTGAGTAATGCGCAAAAGTGTTGGTTGATATACGAGTAAGACATGTGTAATTTGCCACAACACAACGCCGTATTAGCTGCTTTGCTAAGCATACAATACAGTTAGACAGTATTGTTTATGAACGACCTATTTCATATAGTTTACTGTCCATAACCTTATCCTGCTTACCTCATAACTTTGAAAACACTGTACAAAGAAAACAGGGTCCAGTATTGTCAGGTTACTTTGATGTGGATGCATGCGAGATTTTTTATTGGAAAAGCGAATCAGCAACTTACATCACACCGTTGTAGGTAATACGAAATGAACACAGTTAATATGAAATTATACTCTGCCACAATGGTTAAGCTGTACTTCTATATTAAGCCATTCAAATGTAAGAGAACAACCATTAGAAAGTTGCATATTATGAAAGATAAGTACAAGTGTCCTTATTTCAATGGACGTATCAACCAGCTATCTATTTCTTTTAAATTCCGACGCCCTTTGCTGGATATCATGACCTTGAAATAGCTAGTAACTGAGGGTTTTGCATTTTAGCTGTCAGTATCGTGCTAACTAATCCATAAGTACCTCCAATATTCTGAAATTCGGTAAATTCGTAAGCCGTTGGGAGGGATAAGTAGGCACCGATTAAGCTGCTGCAATTACTTTGTGTTTTCTAATGTAGAATTTAAGGAGATGTTTTCAAAACAACTCACACGAAATCTATCATTTCAGCGTAGCGTTCACTGAAATTCATCAGCTAAGCATATTCAAAAGCTTGAAGAAATCCATTCTAGTTTGAAGATAAAGAAGTTTATTTGAGCCTGGGAGTTTTCACTGTGACTTGATAACCTCATCCAGCCCCTCATTGGGTTGTAGTTCCTTACTGCTGAAGAGCCTCACACTGGGGTGGAACACATCTCAAGATCTCCCAAGTTTTCACTGGCTCTCCGATTGATCTCAGCCCATGGAAATATTGCCTTGAACTGTTTGCCATTCTTGACACACTTGTCATATTTTTAGTCTTATCATTGATTGAATGTACTTTAACCTCCCACAAACCTAGTTTGTTATTTTTCCCCATATTGCTGGGAAAGCGTCTAACCTTAAAAGAATAAATTATCTTTCTGTCCTACTTTCTCCTGTCTATTTATCTTTCCACTTACCGATACACAAAACCCCCCGATGTTTATTATTTTACAAGATGGGATAACATATGAGAGTAGTTCACCATATGACAATAAATATTATACTCTATAGACTCCATATGAAGGTTTGATCATCTAAAGCTAAAATTATAGGACAGCCAGTTGATACTCATTCACTACAGAAGAAAATGATTTCTTGTGACTTTCTGACGTATATTATCCTTTCATGAAAGTTATGTCTAAGTGTAAGTTGGTAATCAGCGGAAATAAAAACTACGCAGGGCGTTGTAAATATGGGAAATTCTTCAGTTAACCTTCTGCTTCTACTGCTGTACGATGAACGGATCATGTCAGTATGCTTGGTGTGAAAGAAGCTGCGAACTGACTGAAATTAAAAATACGAAGCATGAGAAAAGTAAAGTTGTAGTCAAAATCCAGTGAGTCAGCCACATGGTTAAATGGCTGCAGATTCGTTACCTATGAAGGTAACTGGTTTTTACTGTTACTGAGTGCTAGGACATATACAAACGTATGTACAGGAGTTTCAAGCGTTCCACACTGGATTATATGTTAAAACGAACTATAAAAGATGTTATAAAGCAATTCAGGCTGAAAACTTACATGTTCTTTCACATAGTCTACAGCCACAATACGAAGTGAATCTGGGACACCCTGCTTATCTAGTCGCTGTAATGTATTCACCAGTCCAATTACCATTTGACGATATTTATCTTTCTCAGTAACTGGATTATCTATAAATCAGCATAGAAAAGTTTAGACTCCTTCGAATATTTTCGCTCTTTACATAAACTACTGAGAGTAGTATAAAATATTTTCAAGTTGGTATTCATCATGGACTGACGTCAGTTGGAAGAACATTGGATACCTGGGGGCAATCGACAGCTGTTTCATTCTAGTACGGGACTCTTCAGCAGCGCGCACCCACGACCACGCCAGGGCTCAAACCCGCGACCTTCAGTTCCCATGACCAGCACGTTGCCATTGAGCTACTGGGTCGGAATCCATTGGTTCATATTTCCAATTCCAGTCAGTTCACGAAATTTGAGGTTTGCGATGTTCCCCCAGCTGATGTCAGTCCATGATAAATACGAACTTGAAATATCTCTAAATCCCCACAAACCCCCAAATTCAATAAAACGTTTTGTCAAGATGCTGTAAATTGAAAGAATATACTGCTTTGGTGAAGTGATAAACAGATTGAAAAGAACGGCAAGGTTACGGTCACAATGTGGTCACTACACCCATCAAAGTGCATCGCGATGCTGAGCCTTCAATCTTGGCGGTCGAACTGCAAAATGACTGATAGAATTCGTTCAGCACCTCGGACTAAATAACATGAAACAACTACAAAAGCTCAATACTCACCCATCTAGTAGATAGTGAGCATAAGATTGACAAAACCTCAGCATTTACTATCGTATACAAAGTCCCATCACAATACTCCAGGTTTGTACCCCTCCAATTGCTAAGCATGACAGAAGCCTTAGCGATTAAAATTTTCAAACCTAATTTATGTATTCAGATGTTTGTTCGTTCCCTCCCATGGACTCAACTCCAACCCAGATAGAATTACAGTAAATTCCTTCATGGGCACCCGGATGAGTGTAAATATCATCTTTGTTTGTACTCTTATCATTATCATTTTATTTTTCCGCCTTAGTTTCATAAATGCCTAGGAATTTTAACATTTTATCATCGAATCGCTATGCGACAATAATTTTATTTCCCTCTATCCCCGAAGATACACAATTCATTCACACACCTACAAGGATTGACTACTGAGAATATATAAACTTTCCGAGATTTTGCTTTATTTTGTTATTATCACCTTTACTGTTATCTTCTAATTCATATATCCGAGTTAATTTAACCATGTTGATATCAAATGACTATGCTGAATAATTTCTTAATGTAAAGCCTGACGACAATTTACCGAAAATAAGTATTCTCTTCGAACTCTGTCTTCTAATATGAAATTGGTTGCTATCCCGGATCTAATGATATTTTCCACTCTTGACCCATTCTGAAGTGAAACTTTAGACGTTTGGGATTAAAATCAGTTTGTTTAATCCTAACTTTTTTAAATTTGTGACATACCATAAAGCTTGAGGATAATAGCAGTTCTATAGATGATACCGTCTTCCAATGGAAACAATATGAAAGACAATTTAGAACCTTAAATGGTATGCATATTTTTTTTCGTTTGAATTGAATGAATCTCTGAAACCACCTACAGATTTGTGTATTGAAATATTCAGTACACCGAATGTAATTTTTGACTTGACCATAAGGTGGACGAAAATAATCCCATTCAGAAGTAAACGATAAACACTAACACAAAACCTAATTTCATATGTCAGTTTCAATTCCTTCATCCTATTACAAACATTTTAGAACAAAATAAAAGAAGAAGAAATTGAATTCGTTTAACTCTTCTACAGATGATGAATAAATTAAGAAAGTACGCCCATTTATAAGCTTTCAGATAACTATCTAACATATAGATTATTAGAAGTGAGAGTCTGTGAAGCCAAGTTCAAAATTATGCCAACGCTCATAAAATTCGCATTATCATGACTGAATTCAATTTAATTTACAGTAATACCATGTCAAAATCTCAGAAGGTTATGACATTTTATGTCAATGCTTGTAATGGCATAAAAATATATCTGTCACACAAGGAGCAGCTATCGTGACCCAGTGGATAACGCTGTGGAGTTTGGAGAGATCGTTCACGGATTCGAGTCTCAGTGAGAACAACATGATTAGCTGGGAAGCAGGTACGTCTAGCTGACGAGTCCCAAATAGGATAGAACACATATCCTGGATTTCACTGCTAACCACTATCTTTCATTACTATCAATTATGATATTTGTCACTACGTAAACTGACTATACTAACTGGCTATATAAACTTCAGTAAAATTGGTAGTAGTTGAACCTGAAATGCACTTCTCAATGGCTTCATTTGAAATCTTTTCGTGATGTCTTTGCATTAGTGAACTAATTATGCGTCTTTGTATCCAGCCCAAATTGTCTGTTCTTCCTATATGGTTGAAGTTTACTTCTGGACAATGAGTCGATATCTTCAAAACTCAGAGTTTCATGATGCAAAGTATATGTTCGAATATTTTAAAGTTTTGGAGGAAACTTACTAACTTATTGACACTTGTTTTCTCTCGCTGATTATTACAATGGATAGAATCGGTTGGTTTCTGTTGAGTTATGGGTTCCTATGTAGACGCCTCAACATTGCCTAAAGGTTTGTTGTTATGTGATCTTGCATAGTGGTTCTTAATAGTAAAACGCAGAATGAGCGTTTCGTCCTATTTTGAAATTACAAATATTGCAAGTAACAGTGGGTAATTAATGATGACGATTGCATAGGGGGTAGCTTTTATGTTTCAGTAATAAATAAACCATACTTCGTCTCTTGAATTGATGGGTGTAGGGTTCGAGTCCCAGCAGCAACACCATTCATTAGGATGCACGTAAATCTAAGCGACGAGACATGGAAAATAATGAAACAGGACTCTTGAGTTTCAAAGACAGCCAACATCAAGCAAATAACATCACAGAAACGTTATTATTTTTCCCTTGGGTTCCAGGTGGAACATAGGGAGTCAGTAGCACATCTTCAGTGCACTCTCCTCTCTGAAGTCTTTTGAACCTCGCTCCACGACTGTCCACAACCTTTCATTGCTTCCTCACACCATCTCCTCTATGTCACCCTCACCTCGGACGCCTAACTCGTCGTTTCCTCTTTGGATTCCACTCGACGGCCTGACCTGGCGTGTGAGGTCCCCAAACGGTCTTCTCAGTGTATGCCCAATCCATCTCCACTTTCTCCTGGATAGTTGCTGTGTAATAGGTTTTTGGTCGGTTCGTTACCAGTCACAGTTTCCTCTAATCCGGGGAAATATACACTGTAGACCATTCAAAATCACCATCAGAATTCAAATGTTTCAGATTAATTTTAATTGGGAGGTTTGTGGGGATATATTTTATTAATCTCACAGACTAACATTAATTGAAGGACCATTGAAAACCTCGGGGCATTGAACAGCTGTTTCTCCCTAGCATGGGATACCTCAGTGATGGGCACCCATGAACTCATCAGGGGTCAAACCGACGACCTTCAGGTTCCGTGGCCAGCAAGTCACCCTTCAGCCATCGGATCAGCATCAAGTGCTCCACATTCCCTACTTCTATCAGTTCGCGATATAGTGCGACCTCAATCTATTGCTGTCGTTGCGTAACTAGCCTCACATCCGACTTAGTTCGCCCCACCAGTCACTACTTCTCATTAGAACTCCACAGATCTCATCTAAAAGCTAGTAACTAGTGAGCACTGAACAGTAATTCACTTTGGGCTAGTTTCCTTCCTTCTTTCTTTGTTATTGTAATGTACTTCATAACTTAGTTTTTATCATTATTTGGATTGAGAAGGCTTTTTATAGTATAAATTTATGAGCAAATGAAGATTTTTTTTTTCATTCACTTACCAATCAGTGAAAGAAATTTCAGTGAAGGTAAGCAGCTTAATTGTTTAACTTCAGAAAATTTTGAAATCTGATTGCCTCTAAGAAAGTTAAATGCAAAAGAAAAAATAGAGAAAAGTTGGTAGAAGAAATACGAACCATGTGCTGGATTCCAACAGTTTAAAATTAAACCCTGTCTATCTTCAAATTCATTAAATATCATAGAAACCATCTCTCCGAAATATATATATATATATATATATATAGACATGTTTTTAGCTGAAAATTGTCAAGAAGTTCCACTTGGGAAGTCATGACATGTCAGCTGTGTTTGGCTTACTAACTAACACAATATAAAATGCGATATAGCGTTGGGAAGTTTCAACTATTGTATTAATTTTGAGTAAGAATTGCTGTAGAACATTGGAAAAACCAACTGCCTTTAACAACATAGAATTTTTTCAAGTTGTTATTGGTCGTAGACTGACATCAGTTGGAGGAACAAAGGAAACCTGGGAGCACTGGACAGCTGTTTTGTCCTACTATGGGACTCCTCAGCAGTGCTCAACCACGACCCCATCAGGGATCGAACCCGCGACCTTGAGGTTCCGTGGCCAGCATAATGCCATTGAGCCACTGGGTCAGGATCTACTACTCCATATTTCCAACTTCTGTTAGCTCACGACTTTATTGGTAAAACTGACTGACATTCAATCACGTTTTCATCAGACGTAAAAAATTAACTTCTGTGCCCCTTATTGAGAAATCTTTGGTTTTGACAAATACAAATAAAACAATAAACAAAAAAACAGAAGAATACATGAAGTCAATTTGAAGCATTGCCGAATCCCCACAACTCCCTCAAATTTCAATGGAACTGGTGTTCATTGGTGACTAGCTTAAGAGGTATTCCGGAAGTTTCAATGAGAAGTCGTGACCAGTGGAGACAAAGCCTGATGGTCATGAGGACAGTTACTCAACGATGACATTGGGTGGTGGTTGCACTATATCGTGAGCTAACAGAAGTTGGAAATATGGAGTAGTAGATCCTGACCCAGTGGCTCAATGGCATTATGCTGGCCACGGAACCTCAAGGTCGCGGGTTCGATCCCTGGTGGGGTCGTGGTTGAGCACTGCTGAGGAGTCCCATAGTAGGACAAATAGCTGTCCAGTGCTCCCAGGTTTCCTTTGTTCCTCCAACTGGTGTCAGTCTACGACGAATAACAACTTGGAAATATTTTATACTTCTCTCAGTAGTTTATGTAAATGCCAAATCCCTGCAACTCCCTCCAAATCCAATAGAATTTTTGTTGTTGCTTCGACTGCCATTGCATACTGTTAAAAAGTCTGGAAAAAATTCTCTAAGTCAATATTGATTTCGTGTTGAAACTCAGCTTAAGTAAAGAAACTGCTTGAGAAATGAATAAATTTAGTGCTGAATAAAACATCACTGATTTTTCTTGTATAACAGCTGAAGTATCAATGATTAACTGATTGAAATAGTAAATCTCTAATGTTAATGAAGAAAGTTATGTTGGAGTTCATTACTACTGTTCACTTTTGAAATCGATTGTGGGTAGCTTCGTTTAGTAGAGCATACGGTCTCTTTAATATTTAATAGGATATCATTGCAACACAACACAATGACGGTTAGACGTTAGACAATTACAACATTGGAGTACCCTAAGCTATTGTGTACCGCTACCTTTGAAATACTACTTAACTTTTACTGGTTAGTTGGGTTTAACTTTTTCACTATGGACTTTAGGTTATTTGCCGAATTCGTAAATGGAAACTTTATGAAGTACATGGGATATATTAAGATTTGTACGAACTAAAACATGTATATGGCAGAAGCTACTTTCCTTCTCACTTCAGAGAAGTCATGACAAAATGAGGAAACCAGTTTATAAAGGAAACGTTCATCACACTCGTATCCATGAGGTACATATTTAATTTAGAAGAAAATGGATTGATATATACTGATAATTATCGCATAGATGTGACATCTGTTTTATTGATAGAAATGCATTTCCTGTCTAGCTACTTAGGATGAATTATTTCAAGGAATCTACACCATTAACAAATGCAAAAGCTTACATTGGTTCTATATTGTAATGCACACAAAAACTAAACAAAAGTATTAGAATTCACATTTTGTTAAATGAATAACATCCATGACACATACTTACTCATTTCATGCTATAGCATGAAATGCTGTCATAATTTGAAAAAAATATGATATGGGATTGAAATTCGCGACAGGTAATTTTTACTTCAGATACACTTCAAGGAAAAAACAAATCTAGACTGAATGCCACCAGACATGTATTTTGAATATCTGAATGGAAAATCTCTTGAACGCTTGAGAAGTATAGTGTCTTCTTGTTATAGAACTTATTCTACTCCGTTCAACTGTAATATTTTTTGTCCATTTACACCATTGGTCATCGATTCAACTATATGTGCAAATGATTTGTTTGATGGTGATTATCAGTGTTACTTGTCGTCTAGATGCAACTGCTATCCAAAGAGTGTTCCCTGAGTACTCGAATCCAGCACGCAACAATTCAAACACCAGAGCCCCATCTACTAGCCTACTGACTTATGAGAGCCACCTCTTCTGCAACAAATATCCCTTGTAATTTATTGATAGTTGCGATTTCCCATTGGTAATCATACTGAGTCGTTTTGATCAATCTCTGTTGGCGTATGGGATTCTACATAGACGGCTCAATATTATCCAAAGACTATGTTGTAATTTGCTTGGAAGTGGCTATCAGGAGACTATAGGACACAAACAACCATACTGTAGCATATTGAAGCTGCAGATAAAAACAAGGTGGCCATGATGATGAATAATGTCAGATAGTGATTGTACTGTATTGTGGATCAAATGAACCTTGAAAATGTGAACCACGAGATGCTAAACCAGTGATGTTCTTGAGGGCCAATGACTTAAGATTCCATGTAGAGTCACTGATGCGTAATAACAAGTATGAAAATAGGATGAAGTGCAACTCAAGTGTTTCTTAGTTCTCAGCATTTCTCTAGTTTAAGTCAATACACCTTGAAAGCAATTCCAAAATAAGTCGATTTCATCACAGACCATGTGACTGAATATATATATATATATATATATATATATATATATATATCAGACAAGAAATCAGATACATTAAGGACGTCCTACTCGTCAATAGCTAATCTTCTGAATCAACCAATAAGTCCGCTAGTAACTGTCAGAAAAATGTGGCTAATAATGATAACAAAGCTGAGATTAGGAATAATAATAATAATAATAATAATGGCTTTATCTGAAAGCTGCTTTGAGAATACACAATTTTCAGCATGTCACATAGCCTTGATTAGACAGAAATAGTATACATGTATACTTCAACACTACGGAGTGCCACAGACATTTATCAAACTCATTCAACAGCTATATGGAGACGCCACATGCCAAGTGATCCACAATGGAAAGGCCAGTGACGCCTTTGAAGTGAAGACAGGAAGGAGTAAGACAAGGCCGCCGCCTACTATCACCGATCATCTTCCTGATTGTGGTCAACTGGACTGGACTGGATCATGCAACAAACCGTGAGGAGCGAGAAGATGGGCATACGTTGCTTGACTGATGAAAAGAGTCTAGGAGATTTGGATTTCGCCGATGATTCATGTATAATATCACACAAACTCGAAGATCTACAGGTGAAAACCAACAAGTTGGCAGAAGAGGCAAGGCAGCGAAGACGTGACCTTCTTCAGGTGAACGTAGAGAAGACAGAAGTGATGAAGATACCTAACCAACAAAAACGAGCATCAGTCACTATCAACGGGAGAAATCTTAAGCAAGTTGTCTCTTTCACCTACTTAGGCAGCGTAGCATCATTTCAACTACAGGTGGAGGTGGCATAGATGAGGATGTCAAAGACAGGATTGGAAACAGCAAAACAAGCCTTCATTAACCTTAAATCAGTGTGGAGCTACTGCACTCAGCTCAAAGCATGAACAAGATCCAGATTTTCAATACTAATTCAATCAAGTCAGTGCTTTTATGTGATGGTTGAGAGACTTGGCGAGTCACGAAGAGCAATTCCAACAGACTATGACATTCATCAACAGCTGCCGCCTACGCTCACTCAATATTGAAGATCAGATGGCCAGAATACTAAGAATAAGCGGCGAGAAACTCTGGCTGGCAACGAATAGACCAAGAACCTATTACCCAGCAACTATCCAGGAGAAAATGGAGATGGATTGGGCATACACTGAGAAGACCGTTTGAGGACATCACACGCCAGGTCAGGCCGTCAAGTGGAATCCAAAGAGGAAACGACGAGTTAGGCGTCCGAGGTGAGGGTGACATAGAAGAGATGGTGTGAGGAAGCAATGAAAGGTTGTGGACAGTCGTGGAACGAGGTTGAAAAGACTGTAGAGAGCAGAATGAAATGGTGACGTGCTACTGAAGTCGTATGTTCCTCTGGGAACCTAAGGGACAAATAACAATAATAATAATAATATACAGTAAAATGAAATAAGTACAAATTATATAGAAAGGATAATAATATTCACTCTGTCTACAACTTTATTGAAAATGTACAGTTAATTTACGTAGACAGTCAGATTAGGAATTAGATTCACCATGTATAAATTGTAACATATTCATCATGAATTAGTTTTCTTTCAAAAACATGATTAGTTAATTCGTTTCTAATGCTTTCTTCACTGCACAGCAGACCAGCTAAATACGATATTGTAGAGTTTTTACTTTTTTTTCAGTACGTGCATAAAGTCTTAAGTACTTGTTCCTTCTACTTCCAGACGACCGACACTCAGAGAGCTGACAGTGAAGGGGATGCTGGTCATCTGATTAAATAACTCCTGCTAGATGTGCTTGTCCACAACTGTTTTAACTAGAAGGTTTAGAGGTATACCACTAGTTCTGCTGACAACCTTTAGAGTCCTACGTAACATAGCATACATAGTCTTTTTTCAGCAACCCGGGTAAAAATAAAGGGGAACAGTAGAGACCAACAGGCAAGATCCAGGAGTTTATAAAATATAAGAAGAGAGACTGAGTTATACCAGATACTCAGCTTCCTAATAATAGTGTTACCATACAGGGAAGCCATCTTGGAGACATGATATACGATTCTAAATAAGGCTAAGAGTAGAGTAGAGTTTAGCTTTGTAAGTTCATTTAGAAATAAGCTTTCTAGATTACAAGTTCCTATTAATCCAATTGGGTAAAATAATTTAATTTACTGAATCCTTTGGAATGGTTGTGAGATCAGTTAGATAGGTCAAAGTATAGGATAAGGGACAGTTAAGTTATCTGAACATAAAGACTAGCTAAATGAAGATTGGTAGACCGTAGTAAGATAAATAATCCTTGAAGACAGCCCAGCTATAGTTGTGCATGTAACTAAACCCAACCATACACTAGGGTGGTACAGACAGACACTATTAAAAACTAGTTGGATGGACGGAGGGATTGATAACCTAACCTTTGTTGATCGAATTAGCACCAAATACAAGTAATAGGAATGATTCTGCAGTTGTTCTAAATGTATGGAAAACTATACTACTCTAATCACAAAGAAAGAGAGATAACTAAGATTATGTAAACCATGTTTCGCAGTTGTGGAGTTATCTTTTATGAATATGGAAAATAAATTGTGTTCGAAACATAAATCAGTGAATAATACTGTTTCACTGTGTGATACATTTGTTAACTAAACTGAGATGAAATAATACGCCTATTATTTGATCTTCAGAAGTAAATACAATTTACTTTGAGCGTAATTTGAGAAGTACGTACTAACAGTCTTTATAGTATAAAGTGGAAATTTAACATCCTGACCCGCAGAAAACTTTAACATTAATTAGTAGATTAATTTTATGGAAATCCAATGGAACAGCATAGTCTAATATCTCTCATTCTTGAAAGTCTTCACTAACACAATACCAACAAAGAAGATGATATTGATGTTGGATCGTGGCTAGCAGTAGAATCCAGGATGCGCATTCCGTCCCATTTGGGACTCGTCAGCTGGATGTACCTGCTTCCCAGTGAGTGATATTGTTCCCACCGGGATTCGGACTTGAGAGCGATCGCTTCAAACTCCAGAACGTTACCCACTACACCCCCAAGCCACGACAGACACTTCTTGTGCAACGGGTATAGTTTTAATATAATTGTCTTTATATCATACCGTCGTTGATTGGACTGCTAGCCACGACCCATCATCAATATAATTAGAACACAGACAATATCGAGGCATCCGCACAGGAGCCCATATGCCAATAGAGATTGATCAATTCTGTCCAGTCAACGACAGTATAATATAAAAACAATTATACTGAAGAAGATGGTACCATAACGTTAAAGTGTTCTGTCATGTTTACGTAACAATTTAATACAATGGTGAATAAAGTTTTGTTGATTCTGAAACACACGGATATAAGGACATAAAAGTTAAAATTAGTGGCTAAATGTCCTGTAATGTGTTAGCATTTGTTATGCTCAGTAATGTTGTCGAAGTTGAACATTTAAAGAAAGCCGGGGATTTTAGCTGTTTAAATACAAACAATGGTTAAGAATAACTGACTAATAGTCTGAAAGTTATACAAAAGGATGTGACTTCTTAAGACGTTCTCAGCTAAGGTAGAGCAAAAGCTCAATACTTCCCAGTTTTAAATCGTTCTACAATCGATTTCGGTTCATAAAGAAAAATATTTTGAATAAACACTTAACTGTAAACAAGTTGGAGATTGAACAGATATGAGAAAATAAACAAACCTTAAGTTTATATATTCCAATGACGTTAAAGCTTCAGTGAAACCAGTTAACTTCGATAGACGATTATCACGTAAATGCAATCGAACCAATGAAGTTAGTCCGGAAATACCCTCCAGCCTACTTAACATATTTTCTCCGCAGTATAATGTCTGTAACTTGTTCATTTCGTCAATCCCATTTAAGGTAACTAAACGATTCCCGCGCAGTTCAAGCGTGTGTAAAGTGGGAAATTGTTCTGAGCTAAGATTTATATCATTCTCCGATTTCAAAGAAGCGATTGCATTGTCTGTTAAGCAAGATAAAGAAGGTGTAACAAATATTTAAAGAATGAACTGAATGACATACAATGTGTATGTGAATTACATACAAGTGGTATTGATCAAAGAGTAGAAGAATCAGTTTCCATACGTGAACTTGGACTGTGATATCAGACGAACTAAGTGGAAATCAACATTTCAAGTCATCAGCCGCTAAAGTAGAAGTTTTGGGTTTCAATTCCTGGTCAGAAAAAACCTTATTGGACAGCTTTGACCTACAGTTGACTAGTCAAAATAACTTATTTAACTTTTGGCCCCGTGGTTTTATATATTCATGAAAACTATATATAAATGTTGAATAAAGTGTTTTCCTTACAGTTAAACGCCTCGTCTTTGCCTTCTGATTTTCGCGGCTAGGTGAAGTATAAGGTTCTGAAGGAGAATAGGCGCTACTGGTATTTAGTCCAAGAGTCTCATTGCCTTAACAACATTCGCGAATTTGTTACTATTTACTGGGTCATTGTATGCTGTATCAAGAACATATTTATTTGATAATGAAAAGTCCAATGTGGATCCAAATGACACATTCTTATCCATCACATAGCTGTGAAACATCGTTGCTGACAGACGAATTGAGGTCACAGATATCTTTGAAATATCACTGGTGAATCGAAGATCCTAGTTTATAGGAAATAGTGCTGTATGATACGCAGTTAAATGAAAGAAAGTAAACCTATTGATAACTGCAAATTTGGTGAACAAGTGTGGATATGATTATATGCAATCAAAGCTTTGACTTTATTAACATGACATAAGCTGTTCTCCATACACGGGTTGGCAATTGTAATCACAGAAACTGAGTTACACAATTATTCTACTCAAAAGGCTTCAAGCTACACTAATTTAAAACTCAACCAAGTAAACTACACGAACCAACTACTTATCATGTGCCAGTTCCATCATCAAATTCGTTTTTACCTATCTTCAGACAATTCATGAAATCCTTACTGTCAGCTGTGTAAAAAAAAACTACGAAGCACTATCTGTACTGTCTATATAAAATGCCGAAGTGGAAACCTATTAGCTATTTGGCCATAATCATATATAGTATTGGTTACTTCACTAATTATCAGTCAGTTATATTTATCGCACTGTTGGACATATGCACATGAAGACTAAGAATATACCACTTTAAAAAGAAGGTTTCCAGATTAATTGACTGGTCGCTGGAGGGTAACCAACTTCATTTTAGCTGTCTGCTTGCCATTTAGCCGCCAAGCTAGAAGACTCACTATCACGACACATTGAGATGGATATTTAGGGTACATGAAGGCAATCACCAGGACGCTACGGACCTAGGTTTCGAGATTCTTGGCACTCGTCAGCAAGCTGTGTGTGCAACCTTGACGGGACTAATGTTTCGCCTGAGATTCGAACCCGCATCACCCAGTATTGTAGTCGGTGACTTTGCCACTGAGCTATTAGGGCTATGAACGGCCTCCTGTATAACTGGGTTATATGTATTAAATAGTCACGGGAGAGCAGCCAACTTTATGTTGTCTAGTCCTGAGTGCAGAATCCTATCGATTATACTTGCAATGTGACCACCAAGCTAGGACGCTCAGCATCGCGATGCATATTAGTAGATGTTAGTTGGTTAGAGGCAATCGGTGGGAAGTTCTGGACATAGGTTTCGTGCTTGCTGGCACTCGTCAACAAGGCGTATCTGCAGCCTCGATGGAACTGATGTCGCACCTAACACTCGAACCCAAATCACCTAGTGTTACGGTCAGAGAAATCACCACTGAGCTATCCAGGCCACATCTGGCATAGACAACAAGAAGCATTTTACCCTCCAGTGAGTGATTAGTGTACCTAATCCAGTCTTACAGGAGGTTAATCGCTGTCCAAATAGCTCAGTGGTAACGTCTATGACGTGAGTGGTGACTGACACGCGTCTCAGTTTCGAGATCCCCATACTAGTGAGTGACAAGAAGTGAGAAGCCTGGTTCGAGGGCTTTCAACCGATTGCCTTCATCCGACTAACAAATTTTCAGTTATACCTAGTGGATGAACTTTTTACGATACATAGATAAACTTTTAGAAAAGGTAAGCAAAGATGAAATTCTCACATCTACTTTGATTGAAACTGTTACTGAATGCGACAAATGATGATAAAAACTCTAGAAGAGATAGCGAACCGCTTAGGGTTTGCAGCTAATCACTTCCATCCACTCATTATAATAATCAATATTCTTAACCATTTTTGATCCTTGTGCATTTTCTTATACACTTTGGCGTATGCAAACTGAATATTTTGAGAAAACTTCAAATTTTTGAGTTTACTATGAATTGTTTGATATGACAAACATAAGCGTTAGCATAGATTTGAGAATAGAAACAAGACTATTATACATCGAACAAAAACTAAACCATAACAGTAATCGATTATTTATAGCGCTTAATTAACTAAACAAAGAAGTAACAGAAATAAATCTTATGATTCCTTCATATGAGTTAAACAATCTTCTCCAAAGTAATCGGTTAACGGATAGTAATGATTTCACAATGATATCGGTGAGAAGCATTCACTATGGAGTGTTTTCTGCCCAATAGGAATGAAGCATGTTTATAGCTTGAACAAATGTTAACCATATACATTAAACTACTTACAAGTAGCACAAACGGAATTATTTACTTTTAAAAGATAAATACGAAAAAAAATTCTCTATATTGTTTTTCCCAATAATTACTGAATACAAGGCAGTTCATAAAAGTCAAAATGAGTTTAAAGTTGATATTTGGATATATTAGCTGTAGAAGATGGTTTTGGACGATAGCTTTCTTCATGTTTGAAGAGATGAATATCATTAGGTCTTAGTTCGATAGTTACTTATATGGATGTTTATCATTCATTTTGAGAATGATTATTCAAGCTGAAGGTGTACAGCCACACATTTTTACCTCAGAATACTTTGAAGTTACATCGTGGTATATCTTTCTACAAAATCTTTAATCAATTGTGTGGTATACATTCAAGCAGGGATCTCTTTCCATGAAATAATCTTTCCCACAATCTAGGTTTTGTCTGGTATATTTGAATCACATACAAACATCGTTTTGTACATATAACATCTAAATGAATTTTGCAATTATTTTTTTTCTTACCAGTATTTCTTTTAAACAAAACCGCTTCATAATTTGAAAACCGAAAATTCTCCCATTAACTTTTTGATTGCATTCTTGTGGGTTGAATTTCTGTCAACGTTAGCACCAGCAAAGCAAATTATCACGTTCATTGAGAACGTCTACCTAACCTACGTATGCATTCAGTGGTCGATTTTTAACGGTAGAATATACAATCTCTAGATAAACAAGCATACTCACTAACATTTTCAGATTATTATTATTATTCTTAGTACCTTGGGTTCCTAACGGAACATAGGGATTCACCAGCAAGTCTCCAGTGAACTCTGTTCTCCGAAGTCTTTTGAACCTGGCTCCAAGACAGCCCACAACCTCTCATTTCCTCCTCGCACGATCTCCTCCATGTCACCCTCGGACGTCCAACTCGTCGCTTCCCATCTGTGTTCCACTCGAGTGACTGGCCTGACGCGTGGTGTCCCCAATCGGCCTTCTCAGTGTATGCCCACCCCAATCCATCTCCACTTCCTTCCAGTGCATATTTGTTGGGTGATAGGTTCTTAATTGGTTCGTTCCCAGAGCTCCTTGTTGCTTATTCTTATTATTCTGGCCATCTGATCTTCAGTAGCGAGCCAGCGTGTGCAGTTGTTGATGAATGTCTGTAGTTTATTGGAAATCTCTTTCGTGACGCGCCAAGTCTCTCAACCACCACACAGAAGCACTGGCTTGACGTTGGTGTTGAAAATCCAGATCTTGTTCCACATGCTGAGTGCAGTGCAGAAGATCTCCACACTGGTTTCAGGCTAATGAACTGCTGTCTTGCTGTTTTCCCGATCCTGGCTGGCTTCGACGTCCTCGTCTGTCCCGCCTGTAGTTGAAACAGTGCTTCCTAGATAGGTGAAGGAGGTTACTTGCTTTAAGTTTCTCCTACTGATGGTGACTGGAGTTTGTTATTGTTGTTGGAGTTGTTGTTGCGGTATCTTCATCACTTCTGTCTTCTCTATATTCACTTGAAGTCTCGTCTTCGCCGCCCTGCCTCTTCTGCCAACTTGTTAGTTTTCACCTGTAGATCTTCAAGTTTATGTGACATCAGGCACAAGTCATCGGTGAAATCCAAGTCTTCTAGGTCGTTTTCCCCAGTCCCCCTCTTCTCACAGCTATCCACTGTTTGCTGCATGATCCAGTCCACCACAATCAGGAATATCATGAGTGATAGTAGGCAACCTTGTTTCACTCCTGTCTTCACTTCAAAATCATCACTGAGCTTCCCATTGTCAATTACTTGGCATGTGGCATCTTCATATAGTTGTTGAATGAGGCTGATAAAGGTTTGTGATATTCCGTAGTATTGAAGCAGTTTCCAAATTACCTCTCGGTCGACGCTGTCAAAGGCCTTCTCAAAGTCGATAAAGTTCAGGTAGAGAGTTGACTGGCATTCTATACCCTGTTCTATGATGATGCGAAGCGCTGCAATTTGATTCGTACGTGATTTGTACTTCCTGAAGCCTGCCTGTTCAGGTCGTAGTTTTGAATTCAGTGCATCCTCAAGCCTCTCCAGGATGATGCGGCTTAATATTTTGCTTGCTCTGGGTGAACAGGAGAGTGGTTCCGCGCCAGTTCTTGCAAACACTGAGGTCTCCCTTCTTCGGCAGTTTGACAAGGTAACCCTTCTTCCAATCGCCAGGTACCTTCTCTTCCTTCCACACCTTCTGCAATAGTGGTGTGAGCATGTCCGCTGTTGTCTCTGCGTCTGTTTTCAGTGCTTCTGGCGGGATCCCGTCTGGTCCTGCTGCTTTTCCACATTTTCCATTTTCCAATATATGAGTGCTAATCTCTTTAAATTTTAGAGATCAAGGCAGTAAGACAGATAGATAATTTGCTTTTCCATTTGGATGGGTTAATATCCTTTTGATTGGTACGTCAAGAGAATTGTAATTCAAGTCCAAATCTTGAATTACGACCAGATTCTAATACATTTAAAACACTGAATATTCATACAAGAATTCGGCCAACTGAGATTGGATCTAGAGTTATGAGGAAAGCAGGTAAATTAGTGAACATGGATTGACTGAAATGTCTACGTACGCGTTACGTATCCCTGGTCACCATAATTTAAAAACTCAGAATATTAGGTTATAATAAAACTAAGGTTTGCACAAACTTATGGATTCTGCAGATTTATGTTTGAACTAGCTGGAAAACAGCAAACAGAATACCCAAGTTGTTAAGAAACTCTAGGTGGCAACGATCAAAATACATCAAAGTAGTGTAGGTGTACTTACTCCATATGGCCTCTCACATTCTTGATTTATAGTTATCTTCATTCATTTTTTGTCTTTCCTTTTATGTCCTTCTTTCCTAATTCGATATCTTTCCACTTCAGACAACGTCATCTCTATGATCTGCTGCATTTCTGTAGAAGTGTCTATTATCAAGTTCGCTACACCCTACTTTCAAAATGGCTTTCTTTCATGTAAGATAGAAACATAGGCTAACCGATATTATTTTCAGTATAAACGTGAATTTTAACGGTCTAACAATATTATAAGTTAAGTTGTTTTATTCTGTTAGAATCCTTCGACATTATGCGCAAGTGATCTACTTAAAAATCTCATTAAATGTTTAGTTCACCCACGTGAAATTAATCATCAGCTGTTATCAGCAATGTACCTGAAACCAACATTTATCGGTTTTGGCGAAACATCTTATCTTTTAGAGCCAATGAATATGATTAAGCAACAAGGTACGCATATCTTGACATACACTGTTAATTGAAGAGAGATTGGGTTGTGAGAAATTTTAGAGTGGTCAAACAAATTAATGGCAATTAATCGTAAAGCTTATGAATGTTTATGTGAGTCATACAAAGAGGTGTAGGCTACTTGGCTAGGGTATTCAAGAAGAGAGGAGCCATTATTTCAGACTTTTGTTGATATTGCTAAAAATGTATCAAAAAGGCTCAGGTGTTAATACTCCTTGTCATCATCAAAATTTTGAATATTTCCATAATACTTGGAGTGTTTACTGTCTTCTGTAAAACCTTTTTATCTACATCAACATAGTGCTTCTCTCCAGTTTTCCCTTGCGCGGTTCTATGAAGTGTGAGAAATTGAACTGATCCACTCCTGTAATAAGTCATATGTTCATTTAGGTGTCAGTTGAACGAAGGTGATCTTCGGAAAGCCCTCGAACTAGTTTTCGTGCTTGTCAGAATGACGTATCTGCAACCTCAACGGAACCAATATTCTGTCTGATACTCAAACCCTCGTCATCTAGTGTTCCAGTCAGCGACCTTACCACTGAGCTATTTATGCTGTGATTGACCTACTGTAAGGCTGGATTAGGTACAGTAATTGGTCTCTGGTGGTTAACCAACTTCATGCTGTCTAATCTTAAGTGATCATCGAATTCTGTCGACCAGTTTGTAATGCGGCCGTCAGGCTAGGAGACTCAGTATCAGTTCAACTAATATCTACCTCAGTGCATCGTGACATTAAGTTTTCTAGCTTGGTGGTCACATCACAAAATGACCGATATGATTCGATCAGCAGATAGGAGTATACAACGGGAGGTTGATTACCCTCCGGTGACCAATCAATGTACCTACGTCGATTTACCTGTCGGTCACTGGCAAAAAGTGTTTAACACTGTCAACCACTGAAATTAAACCTAGTGATACGAAGAATAAATAATTTAATTCGTTTGGAAAGAACCAGTTGCCTAGTTATCTCACATTTTACTAGTTGTTTTCCCATTTTGCTCCACTACTACTTGTCTTGTTTATATCAGCCTTTAGTTAAAATCACCTTCATAGAGAATGAAAATGTTTGGTCTTTACCAGTAAACAACAATACTACCTTATTACTTATGCCAAAGTAAGTTGTTTAAATGTGAACCTATTATGCTGTATTTGATAGATAAGTGCCCACATGACTAAGCTAGAATCCTATGGTAATTCCTACATAACTTATTTCTGTATTCGTAGCCAAAAAGAATGAGAGCCACAACCAATCAGTTATAAGTGTCCTAAATGTGAATACCTTCGTTCTCATTCTTTGACACTATAAATAGGCTGCCTACGCTTCAAGGTCTTGCAAACTTAACATATGTTTTGCTCAATACAATTAATCATGTGACCATTCTAACTCCGTCTTCTTTCTGAGCCATCTGGTGTGATGCTAATGACTGTAGTAGCAACTCGTGCATAGTGACTCAGGGGATAATAACAGGTAAGACCTGTTTTGGGCATTTACCTCAATTCGTTAATTATAGGACCTAACAGGAAACCGAAACCGGGGTTGTGACCAGAACACCGGCCAAATTGTCAAGATAGAGATATGGGCACTTGGAAGAGTTTTACAGTTCCTGAAACAAAGGATAATGTGAGATTCTGTGTCAGTCACGCCTATCCATTCGATTAAATAAAAGAATAGCTTCCGAATATTCATAAACGGCACAAATTTAATGCGAAATAACCATAAATATAAGCTGAGCAATATAAATACAGCAATTTAAATCTGAAAAACCATCGTAATTTCTATATGGCTACTTATAAATTATATAGTAGTATGATTTCAAAGTAATAATTCTTTAACGGTGAACAAAAAGCTTGAAAGAATAAACCTACCATTCACCTTGAGATGTTGTAAATACGGAAATGTTAGATTATTAATAGTAGTGAGTTTATTACTTGAAAGATCCAAGTATTGAAGATAACGTAATGATTTCAGTGAATCAACTGAAGCGATTTGATTATTATCAGCTTTTAAATACATAAGATTTGGGATTTCAGAAAGTGGTGATATGTCCACGATGAAATTATTACTCAAAATGATAAATCGTAGATGAATAAAACCACGCAAAAGTTCCACATCTAGTAAGTACCTATTTCCAAAAAATAGAAAAGTAGGAGACAAAAGCGAACTTGAAATTCAGTCAAAGGTTAGCTTACAGTAAACTGAAATGAAGCAACCAATGCTAATATTTAACTTGGAGTTATGTTCTTTATTTGGAATGAAAGTGGTATTTTTCAAAAAATCTAACTCAACAAATCGTTCTTTTTCGTTGTAAAGATTTTTCTTTGTATGTATATTAGCCATTATTGGTGTAAAGTATCACGCCGTGCTTTGTGTTGAAAGACAGACAGACAATATCAATGTAGAACCTCACATGCAAGTGCATAGGTTCAAGTTGCCACAATTCACATTAGCGTACACAGAACGACTGGACAGGAAAGAGTGATATTAAAAAGAAAAAAAGATGTATGCGGGGAGAGGAGATTTAAAAACTAATGTTAGTCGTGAATACATCTGCACCGTTGTAACCGACCAATTTCCAGCCATTTCACGGAGTCCTCAATCACTGATTCTTATCGTCTAGGAGACCCCAGTCAGAAAGGCTACACCTTACCACACAGCTAAGACCAAAGGACCAAAAGACCAGAGGCTTCATGCACTGTATTAGCTTGGTCGCCCTGAACCCTCTTCCAAGCTAATCCAACTTCTCCTAGCACTACTCGTTGAGGTAGGCATGGCACGGCTTGCGCAACACATGTCCAAGCCATCTCAGTCAATGAAGGTTCACAACTTCATTGTCCGACTTCGAGTTTGCTAACACGGTGATACCAGTACACGCGTGCAGTGCTAGGAGGACACATGTGGTCAGAAACCTATAATCCCTTCATATCTTCTGCAGTTAACGGCCATGTCTTACAGATGTATAAGAAGACCCAGCAAACTGCAGCATACTCGTCCTATAATAGGTAGTCGGATATCTCGCCTATTGGAACCAAGAATGATGGAAGCTGGCAAATGCCAAACCGGCCTTCTGTATATGAGCTGAGATACAATGACAATTAGCTTTCTAATATGGAATACCTTTTGACAACTGGTACTACACTTGAGCACACTTACCTAAAGTCTAGAAGTTAAGTTACAATGCTTTTCTGTTGATGTAATTTATCTCTAAATTTAGCCTAAAATTCTTCCATCTGTTTAAACATGAAGTGAGTGAAAATATTTGGAATTTCAACAAACACAGCTTCGACGCTTTTTAACTTTTATATTGCGCACCTTTTTCACTGCTTAATGAAAAAGAACCACTAACGAGACACAAGAAGACACTTCTTGAATTTAGGATCGGTATTCCTGATTTTCTGTGTATCGATTTCCCTCAATTCTCTATCCACCCCTTTTTGTTCATTCTTCCCCTCAGAACTGTTCATCTTAGAGGATATTATTTATGTTTTTACAAACTACGGTCGAATCATCCATGTCGTGGAATACGCTTGTTCCACTGAGACTCTCTACCGGAGGGTTTAGTGTCTTCATTATCTGCCAACAATTTCAAGACGAGATTGCGTATTCATATTACTGTCACCAGCAAGAACTACTATAGGTCATTGGCGTACTGTTCTTATCCCTGAAAGCTAAAAATGAAAACACTTCACCATTTACTTGTTAAAACTGAAAGTTATTACTTCGCAATTCCCACAGAACTTAAGTTGCAAGTAATAATATCTTTAAACTAGTTAAAACTGTTTCTGTAGAAAGTAGTGAGTGAATGTTTTCATTATAGTGTCTAACGTCCAACGTGTTCAGTTGTAAATATTCCTTTAAAGTTATCCATCATCCCCAAAAGGTGCACATGCATAATCCAGCTAACCTGGTCAGTATTACTTGAATAAATCAGTTATATGATACAAGAACACAAGATGAAGCCAATGGAGAATGATCTCAAATAACTAATCAGAGCTTCAGGATGGGACGATAGCGGAATGCTGTACATATATCAACTGAAAAGAGTATGTGAAGTAGATTCTATCGTTTACACAGCTAGGCTGGATCAGAAATAATATTTACTTATTCAGACAAATACATGGTTCTCAAGAGTATCAGCATTCACACAGGTGAACAAATTGCATGATTCCAGACGATATCAATTGATATAAAACAATAAATACTGGTGCTTTTAGATTTCTGATGTAAGGAAAGTCGAAGCCAAATTAGCTCAACGAAAGTTCGCCTCTCTAGGTTAATTACTGAATGATATTCCATAGTTATTTGCTCGAATGTTAACTAAGCGTAAAGTTAAACCTTTCATCCCATTTCTTCTCTCTAACACTTTGACTAGTTGCTTGGGATTACCCATCAGTTAACCTACCTTCATAGTAGCTAACCCCAGTCGCAACAAAATGAGTTATGTGTGAGAATATTTAATCAGCAGTATACACAAAATACTGTTATAATACAGTGAAAGATAGTTAGGAAATTAAAAACGACAGCAGAAAAAGTCAGACGAGAGATTAACAGAAACATATAGAAAAAAAAGTGTGGGATGTTCAAGGGTAAAAAGAAGTTCCAAACGACATGTATATCCCACCAACCTAAATCTACCTTCAGCCATATCACCTGAAGTCTAGAAATACTGCTTTCACTTTGAACACCTTAATGGATTTACACACAATTCTCCTACATACCTGACATGAACAAGCAGTAGCTTGATGGAATGATTGTATCACATAGAATCATTCACTCATGGGTTTCGTGTTCTATTCTACAGATAAATACAGTATACAGGTCAATAGCAGCGACAAATTCGTACAACTCCACTAACCACGGAGACGGATACGGTGCAAGTTTTATTTTAATAAGAAACTTTACCGTTGTACAGCAAAAGGTACAAATCCCATGACTACAAAATTACCAATATCATGACAGTCGTATATGTAAACAAAATCTAAGGTGACTATCTAGAAAATGGCCAAAAAAATCAGCCAAGAAATTCAAGGAGATGTTACCATGCATTCCTTATTTACTCACTGGCTAACAACGCTTTTCTACACGCAATGCTGCCACTGGAATACATCTGGCAGTCTACTTCAACTTGAAAAACTACTTTACCACTTGTCTGAACCAAAAGAAGAGCAAATAATATATTGAAGGCACATCGAAATAACTGTTGGTTCCATATTACAAATTTCGCAGATAATCTAAAGTTTTATCGTCTGATGATAGCAATGATTCAAAAGACGAGGAGAATTTTATTTCACCACTTAAAGTATAAACTTGAAAGTTAACATTAGCCCTGAAAGTTAAAAATGAGGCAGAATACAAGTAATTCTAGCAAAAACTGCAGGAAAGCAGACTAAAGATCAAGTTTCCTTATTTGAAAACGAAACCTAGCATTGACCATTGTAGAATATCTCACTATAAATGAAACACTGGTCTTGACATTCACTATAAAAATATCCTGACTGGGAGGCATTCTGAGATATATTCCAAAAAAATGTTATTCAGAAGAATCTTCAAAGTACAATGCAATGCACAAAGTAATGAGTAATTTAATAAACTGGAAGCAACAAATAGTCTCTAATAGATTATTGTGCACCGAATTTCTATGATCAAACCAATGAAGTCAGAACATATATTCGGAGGGAACATGCTAAAATAAACCCATATCAGCTGGAATTGGTAATACGCATTTCTGATTTTGTACCGCTCATTCATTCTTCACAACTGCCCGTTGGCACCTAGGATTCGAGTGAGGATTAGTTCTGAGAAAACAATTTTACTCACAAAAATAGTAAACCATAGTAAGTGAAATTTAGGGCAATTTGAGAAACCACAAAAAATAGTAAACTATCAATGATTAAAGAGTCTTTTAATCAACTTGAAAATGGGGGAATTTATCAAATTTCCCAGCTATGAAGAGTTGACACTTGACATTATAGGTCTGGATATGATGATAGTAAAATTCTCAGGATATATGCAATCCCACATGACATTGTCTTCTGAGACACTTGAAAGGCGAGCGAATATGACAGTCTTTTAGTCAAACTACAATGAATAAAGACATGTTCCCAGACGACGAAACTTCGGACGCACTTGGATAACTTCAACCCGATTCTGTAGTGGAAAGCCTAGAGAAGAGTGAGGGCAATGGAACACATTTTCTGCACTTCTCCAAGCTAATAATAGGCTCAAGTCAAACTTTTCTCCTTCAGAGTATGCGCTTTACGGAATGCCCTACCGCATGATGTAGTCACAGCTCCCTCAAGTACACTAATTTAAGGAAGGTTAGACAGTCACTTTAGTTTGTGTACCTTACGAGTGACGTACTCAAGGCATTGCTGACCTCACTATCCCACCACTACTTCCTTATTTGCCACTCATCACCTTCATGTTTTTGATACACCTACATTGTCCACTAACACTTCCCCAGTGACCAGGCCCACACTATCCACTTTTACCTCTCAGAAACCCCCCATATACCTTTCCCCATTATCTTGTTATTCATATTCAGGCACTTATATAAAGAAGAGTCACGAAAAACCCATAATTTTCCCAGCAACCCGTAGTTCCTTAACCATATCAATCTACAAATTACAGTTACCAACCTACAAAAACTTGATCACACCGGAGCTAAAGGCAAGGAAGCAGGAGAGATTTCCTTACCCACTGTGGAGGCGAACCGGACAAGAAGAACCAAGTCCTAAGAACTAGATGAGAGAGATCAAAAACTAACAGTTTCCTACGATCACATCATTGATGTTAGAAGCTAGCCTGAAATCTCTTACAGCTATCTTCGTATTGTTCTTTGTTAGGTTCAAACACAACCATGCGCAAATAATAAGCTGGTTTCTACGGAGAAATGGTATTCATTGATCTTTAGCAACTGCCGGTGACAGTCGCTGAACCAAACAAAATTACGAATATCAGGTTTGAGACAAATCTGACCTAACGGGGAAGATGCGCTGTTTTTCTCTACATCTGCCGGGAAAAAAAAATTCAAAAACCACGGTTAAGTTGACTTAGCGTGAGCTTACGCTCCTCAACCCAGCTAGCACCTGCTCTTGGAGCACATTGTAAGTTTTGGGCGAAAACCAGAAAATTTTACTTCGGGCATAGACGGGAAGGAGAGTGATATTCCCCGAAATCTCCAAACATTTCCCCGAAACTGTCAAAAGTTTCAAAATGCACTAAAATTGCATGCAGTGCACCTGAAGTCAACAAAGTGTAGACAGTGCGCCCAAATTTTTGGAATAACTTATGTCCACAGTTCAAAGAAGCCATATAATTTGGTAATATTATTATATATAACCTCGCCTGGTTAGCTGGTTCAGTGGTTACTAGCCGGTCCAAGGCCGGGATGAAGAGGAAAGGTTAAGCATAGGGCTAGCAACCCTACCCCCTAAAACCAATCCAATTGCCAAAAGAACTTCAAGGCACAAAGAAAATATAAAAATTAACTTGTTCCTAACTGGAATCAAAACGACGAAATGACACCGGTTGGTGAAAGCCTTAGGGAAGCCAATTAGCCAATATGTCTTCTCTCCCTCTATGAAAGCGGAAGTAAGAATGGAGACACAGAATGTCCACACCATGTTTGAAACCGACTGGCAAGGCTGCCCAGATTGCAAAAGAGATGAGGTATGGCATAGAAGTGCTTGGAATCTGTGAAAGCAGATGGAATGGAAGTCGACGCTCCAAACTGTTATCTGAAGAGTCAATAATCTACTCCGATATTGACAATCAGACAACAACCATGAGCACACTGAGTTTTGGAGTGGCTATCATGATGTCCCCAACACTATCGAAGGCTCTCATGCAGTGGGAACCAATCTCCTCCAGGATCATGACAGCAAGATTCAACTCAAAAGGAAGGAAAGTCACAATCATACAATACTACATGCCAACAAATAATGCAGATGAAGGGAAGAAGAAGGAATTCCAAAGACAACTGCAATCAGTACAAGACAAGACCCCAGTTAATGCCATCTAAAATCTAATGGGTGGGTGGTGTGGATGTCGAACTGGGAGCGGACAACACAGGATGAGAACCAATCCAAAGTCGAGAGGCATTGGGTGAAATGATGAATGAGAATGAAGAACTGTTTGCAGACTTCACGTTTAACGATCTGATGATTATAGGCAGTGTGAACAAACACAAGTACATTCACAAAGCAACATGGATTCCACCAGATGGACACATTAAAAATCAGATCTACCTCATTTCAGTGAGAAAAAAGTGGATATGCAGCCTACTGGACACAAGATCAGATGAAGAAGAACAGCAGATGTAGGTGCACACCGCTCACACCACTAAATATCTAGTGCAAGCAACCTTCACTCAGAGTCGAGTTGAAAGCCTTCACAAAAGTTGGTGATAAGCCACAGTTCAAGTTCAACACCCAGAACAGACACTGAAGTCAAGAACGAAACTACAAACGACATCACGTCAGTCGTCAAGAAAAAATGGGAGATACTGACCAAAATCCGTAAAGAAACTTGCATGAAAGAACACTGGAACTGTTTGAAAGAGATGTGAAAGTAAACCTGCATAACCGTGGTGGGAAGGAAGAAGAAACAAGACAAGACAAGGAATGGATCTCGACGGACACACAGAAGCCGAAAGAGGAGGGGGAGGAAGATGGTGAAGCATAAGATAAACCACTGCAGTGCAGTGCAAGGACAGACAATGAAAAGACGAACTGAACACAACCTCTAAAACACTAGACTGGACAAAAAGGTGAAGAAGAGTGCACGTAAAGGCAAAAGACTCTTCTACGACACATTTGCAACTGGAGCAGAACAGGCTCCAGGTAGGAGAGACCTGACAAAATTATATCAAACGACCAGGTCACTATCTGGGAGGAAAGAGGTTAACGCAGACGAAACCAATGAAAGTGAAGGAAACGTAGTTACCAAAGAGGAGGAACAAAGAAATCGATGGGCTGGCCACTTCAAAAGGCTCTTGAATCAACCACCACCTGCAACTTGGCCAGAAATACCGCCAGCAGCTCAGTCACAGAATTACCAGTGAACACAAGCCCTCCGACAAAAACAGAAGTGAAATCCTGAATGCCATAAAGTTGCTGAAAGCCGGGAAAGCAGCACGACCAGATGGGATTCATTAAGAAGCACTGAAAGCAGATGCAGAGACAACAGCGGAAATGCTCACACCACTATTGCAGAAGGTTAGATACGAGCCGATTGATTGGAAGAAGGGCTACCTTGTCAAACTCCCAAAGAAGGGTGACCTAAGTCTTTGTTATCACTGGCGTGGAATCATGATCTTATCCCTGTCCACCCCAAGCAAAATATTAAGCCACATCATCCTGGACAGACTGAAAAATACTCTCAATTCAAAATTACGACCGAAACAGGCTGGCTGGCTGGCTTCAGAAAAAACAAATCATGTGCGGACCAACTTGGAACACTACACCACCCCTCATCGTAGAACGGAGCAAAGAATGACGGTCAACTCTCTACCTTAACCTCATCGACTTTGAAAAGGCTTTCAACAGCGTCGACCGAGAAGTAAATTCGCAGCCAGCTGCCTCAACACTACGGTTTTAGTGCCACGAACCTTTACCAACCTCATTCAACAGCTATGTGACGACACCACATGCCAAGTGATTCATAATGGAAAGCTCAGCTCAGTGACACCTTAGTAGTGAAGACAGGAGTAGTATAAGGCTACAGCCTACTATCACAGATGATTTTCCTGATTGTGGTGGACTGGATCATACAGCGAAACGTAAAGAGAGAGAAGATGGGCATACGCTGACTGGACCGAAGAAATTTGAATTTCGCCGATGATTCATGTCTAATATCACACAAACTCGAAGATCTACAGACAAAATCGGCAAATTGACAGAACAGGCAACGAAGGAAGACGGGGCTTCCCTCAGGTTAACGTTGAGAATACATAGGTGATGAAGGCACTCAACCAACAACAAAAAGCACCAATTACCACCAACGGGAGAAATCTGAAGGAAGTAGTCTCTTTCACCCACCCAGGCAACTTAGCGTCATTTCAACTACAGGTGGCACAGATGAGGACGTCAAAGCAAGACAGGCTCTCACTAATCTGAAATCAGTGTGGAGATCTACTGCACTCAGCACAAAGCATGAACAAGATCTGGATTTTCAACACCAACGTCAATTCAATGCTGCCTTATGGTTCAGAAACTTGGCGCATCAGGAAAAGCATTTCCAACAAACTACAGATATTCATCAACAGCTGCCACCTACGCTCGCTCGATACTGAAGGTCAGATGGCCAGAAAGAATAAGCGAAAATGAGCTCTGGAAGCAAACCAACCAAGGACTCATCGCTCAAGAAAGTGGAGATGGATAGGATCGGGCATACACTGAGAAGACCATTCGGAGACATCACGCACCAGGCCCTCGAGTGAAATCCAAAGGGGAAACCACCAGTTGGGTGCCCGAGGATGACATGGACGTCATGTAGGGAGGAAAAGGAGGCTTGTGGGTAGTCGTGGAGTCAGGTTCAGAAACTTCAGAGAAGAGAGTGCAATGGAGATATGCTACAGAGGCCCTATGTTCCACTAGTAACAAAGGGACAAATAATAATTATCTATATCATTCGCGTTTCATTGCCGCATGCTTTTGCTTTACAAATAGATAAAATGGAAACGGCCAGCAGAAATAATTGGAGAATTTAGAGGTCACCCGTAATCTGCTAAGGGCGCCTGAAGTATAAACGCTAGCTGGAACACAAATCGGTCAACGGCTGGCACTCCTAACCATGATAACAAATGGTATCGGTCCCTTCATTGAACGCATTCAGTGAGAAACAAGACCACAGAAAAACATACTGCATGGATTAACACAGATCAACTTGTCCCATTATTTTTATCACTGAAAACTGTACAAAAGCTGCGGTGAATGTGACGCTGTATGCCAAATACTATAGACATAATAAAAACGCCATTATTATTGAGCTGAACCTAAGTAAACGGAATACAAGTGACTCACTTGTCTGAGCAGTCGAGTTTCACATAGGCGTGCGAGAAACCGTACCTAAGCCTATAAGGCATTGATATGCATTCAGAAATAATTTCTTTGGTCAGGGAGCGTTTAGAGACTTCCTTCTCATTCAGACCTTCTGTTTTTTCGAAATCTTCTTCCTCAAAGCCCTCTGGGACCTGTTCTTCTTGAGCATCATCATCACTTAAGGACATGACAAAATGTCCGCGGTATCTAGTGCCTCGCTTCCAATATCCAATATCCAATATTGATAGTGCGAGCGTAGAAAACTAGTAGTTTTTGATCTCTCGCGTCTAGTTCTTAGGGCTTGGTTCCAGTTGTTTGGTTTACTCCTGCAGTGGACGAGGAAATCCCCTCTGCTTTCTTGCTTTTAGCTTCGGTGAGGTGGATGTTTTGTGGGTTAGTAGGTTGTAATTTGCAGAGTGATTAGGGAGCTACGGGCTGCTGGGAAGTTTAGAGAACAACCGTGACTCCTGTCTGTGTAGGTACCTGAAAGAGAATATTAAGGTAGTGGTAAAGGAATGAAGAGAGAAATAAGGAAGAGAAAAAAATAAATAAATAAAAATAAAAATAATAGTAATAATAATGTAGGGAAGAGAAAAGGGAAGGAGAAGAAAAGAAAGGGTGAAGAGAGAGATGAGAACGAAGGAAAAGTATTTGGGAATTGCCCGAATGGTCGCATGGGTTTGGTTCCTACAGAAGAATTAGTAGGTAATGTGGGTGTATTAAGGAGAGAGATAGCTTCAAAGCAGCTGATTATGCAGTAAAAGTTGATGGCCATTATCGAGTGGCTCTTAAAGACATCCAAAGGACTAAAATGGTCCGAAGCCAAGACGGCTGACTAATGTTCTAAAGTGGTAAAAGTATGCAATATCGAATATCTTTTTAACGAGCTTGTGTAAACCAGTTGCTTTCTTCTTCCTAGCTTCTTGATCTTGTGGAACGGTTTCAAGCCTTTGGCGGATTTCGGTGTAGTATATCCAGCCACCTGTCTGATACAGCTCTGATTTACAACACAGAAGGTTAAGTGTTGGTCTGTTTGTCCTGGACTGTGGTGCAGTTGGCTTCTTCAGATGCCGGGTTGCCAGACAGTTGTTCGGACTGGTCGCTAGAGAGGGTTGGGGATAGTAAAGAGAAAACCTAGAGAGACGGGTTTGTGTGAGTAAAAGGGGAAAAAAGTGAACTAATGGAGTAATCTACTTACGCCCAAGTAAGGTGAGGAGGGATGTCAAGGTATGAAGAACTTAGATAAGTGTGGCTAACCCATGGCAAGTGGAAGGGGTGAAAAGGGCTTGAATAATTACAATAGAGAGAAAACTGGTTGTAGAGTTGGAATGGTTGGGTGGCTTGACATCAGTTGACTTCTTCTGCTTAGTTTGTGTTCCAGCTACATGTGGGTGGACCGTGGGTCTCTGCGTGACTGTCTAGCCCCTTCTTGGGGCAGAGACCACTTCTGCTGGTAGTGCTTTCCAGTACCCGCGGACTCCGAGGGAGAAGTGTGAACGCATGTGGGTTTTTGACCTTTGGCAGGCTATTCTCTTAGGGTTTCCTCGAGGACCTCCACAGTGGCCACGCAGTAGTAGTCCTCTGTTCCGGTGACTTGGGCTATTCAGTATTTTGCAAGTCATTATCAAGTCACCTCGTAACCTTTGGTAGCTAAGAGAGTACAAGTCCGGGCCTTCAGCCTATCCTCCCGTGGTTTTCGTTGCATTTCAACAACCCCTTTTGTGGCTCGCCTGTGGGCTTTCTCCAGTAGGTTAACGCCTCTTTTGTTATGGAGTGAAGACGTTATGGACCTCTGAGCGGGGTCGTATGTATAATTTATGAATAACCTGTGAGTACTGTAGTGGTATGTTTAACGGTAATAAGTTACCTATGATGATGATGTTGACGTTAAGAATGGTAGCAGGGTCAGCGGCATTTGCAACAAATAGGTTTACACTGTTTACAACAGTAGTTAAGTTGATGTTAAGGAAACGCTACATGCACTTTATCTCAAGAATCACTGGCAAATCAGTGTTAGTCAGGAAACTTCTCACTTCCGTTTCGTCTGTGTATGCGGTCTCGTGGATCGTGTAAATGGCCTCGAGTGACCAAGCCCAATTGAAGTGCGAATCATGTGCGGACCAAATTGCAACACTACACTACCCCTTATCATAGAACGGAGCATAGAATGCCAGTCAACCCTCTATCTCAACTTCATCGACTTTGAAAAAGCCTTCGATAGCGTCGACCAACAAGTAATTTAGAAACCGCTTAAATACTACGGAATACCACAAACCTTTACCAATCTCATTCAACAACTATATGAAGACGCCACATGCAAGCCAAGTAATTGACAGTGGGAAGCTCAGTGATGCTTTAGAAGTGAAGACAGGAGTAAAACGATGCTGTCTGCTATCACCCATAATATACATGAATGCAGTGGACTGGGTCAGGCAACAAACCATGAGGAGCGAGAAGAGGGGGATACACTGGCTGGACTGCGGAGAAGAACCTAGAAGGTCTGGATTTCGCCGATGACTTGTGCCTGATGTCACACAAACCTGAAGATCTACAGGTGAAAACTAACAAGTTGACAGAAGAGGCAGGGCGGCGAAGACGCAGCAACTTCAAGTTAACGTAGAGAAGACGGAGGTGATGAAGATACCCAACCAACAACGACAACAGGCTTCAATCATCATGAACGGCAGAAACCCAAAGGAAGTAGCCTCCTTCACCTATCTAGGAAGCACTGTTTCAGCTACAGGTGGCACAGACGAGGATGTCAAAACCAGCCAGGATCGGAAAAGCAAGACAGGCGTTCATTGGCCTGAAACCAGTGTGGAGATCTGCACTGTACTCGGCACCTGGAACAAGATCCGGATTTTCAACACCAACGTCAAGCCAGTGCTTCTATGTGATGGTTGAGAGACTTGGCGCGTCACGAAAGAGATTTCCAATAAACTACACACATTCATCAACAACTGCATACGCTGGCTCGCTACTGAAGATCAGATGGCCAGAATAATAAGAATAAGCAACAAGGAGCTCTGGGAACGAACCAATTAAGAACCTATCACCCAATAAATATGCACTGGAAGGAAGTGGAGATGGATTGGGGTGGGCATACACTGAGAAGGCCGATTGGGGACATCACGCATCAGGCCAGTCACTCGAGTGGAACACAGATGGGAAGCGACGAGTTGGACGTCCGAGGGTGACATGGAGGAGATCGTGCGAGGAGGAAATGAGAGGTTGTGGGCTGTCTTGGAGCCAGGTTCAAAAGATTTCAGAGAAGAGAGTGGGCTGGAGACGTGCTAGTGAATCCCTATGTTCCGTTAGGAACCCAAGGGACAAACAATAATAATAATAATAACCACGCCCAACACATGGTGCACTTAATTTTCCATTATTTCACTATCCTTTTCGTAAAGCGGGTCTATAGGTTTTTGAATTTATATCCATGATCCTGTACAATCCGTACTTCGTGAGGGGTAAGGCTCACAGCAGCGTGTACCAAAATGTAACCTTAGCTTACGCCCAGCGTCAAGCCCCACACTACGCGAAATCTTTAGACTTCACTGGCCCGCGTTGAAAATGAACCGAATGGTCGATCCTGAGCAAGTTTAACTTCCTTTTGTGTGGATGACCAAAGTGACTTAAAACTGTGTGGGATGAAGTGGGCTTTCGGAGGTCGTGTGTGCAGCATCATCCGGATTTTCGCCCACGAATTAGTCAGTGAACGGGGAACGTAGCACTCAGATTTCCAGCCATTTTAGCAATGGAAGATGGGTAGTATGTATGTTGCCCACGCACCACTGACACCTCACGTTACTACCCAACGAAATTTTATAATTGTGTATGCATCAATCATTGGCTCTTTGAACTAACCCAGGGTTCAGAGTGATTATCTGTCAGTTCTTGCTTTGTCCATGCAAAACCGTCAGCAGGCCCACTCCAAAATTGCTGAGTACGACATGCTGATGCAAGAAAACCCAGGCCTGCGTCAAAAAAGTTAGGTTTACTTACTCAAAGCTGTTGCAGTAATGGGATGCGGCAATGCATATCATCTCTCCAAGCTTTCTGCACAATTCTGCTTACAGCTACAAAGAAAAACAAACTCTGTTCAAACTTTTGTTCATCGAATCCAGATAATGAAACTCCAACTGACCATTGGCCTGAAGCGTATTGTACAACGTATTCTCCGTCACACTGCCCGCGAAAACTGTCAAACCATACGGTGGCTAATATTCACTCGTTACCATGTGCAAATTGTGCGTAAGGCTGACATTTATTTTCTTACAAGGCTCTTCTTCCACGTAGTCCGTTTCTTTCGTGGCATCAGCCGGCCCTTGGTTTAAGAGCTTACCACTCAACATTCAGAATGTCTCCTGAATTACAGATCCGGCTGCATAAGCTCTTTATCGCACCCATGGTTGTGCCTCCTTCTCACCCCCAACATCACGAATGACCTCCGATGTAGTTCAGTCGGAATCCTGATAAACACTCGGTGCCCTTAAAGCCAAAGAAATGAACAAACTGTACCGCCCAACCTTTTTAGTTGACCCCGACCTTCCAGGACTTCCGTTTGTGTCCGGATGTGCATTTGAATTATACTAATTGGCATTAAGCCTCCAGGACTGCGTTATCCCATTTCATCTTGGCGATCACGTTGTAGCGTCACATGCTGTTTCAGAATCAACAGCCTAGGATTCCGCGAGATTCGTCACTGATGCTGACCCTCATAGTCGTATCGGACTCGCCAAGCCGAAGATACTCTGCCCAGCACTCACGCCACTTGGCACGCCATCGTGTTACGCCACACTGCCAGCTAGTTGGAGCGCATCTGTATTCTAGCGCGACCTCGCAGATACACCACTCCGTCTGACCACGCTGATATATTCTTCCTTAATCTTGTATCCGTGCGTGTATTGCAAGTACGAACAATTGGTGATTGGTCTCTGCGTCTTTCTAGTTCACACAAAAATAATCCCCAACTGATAAGGCTGTTCCATTTTATACTTGTACGTCATTTTAATTTTGACAAACCCCATATATCGACATACAACTCGCCTCCATGTCCGCCCATACTGTGAAACTAATCCGCATTAAGCCGACTATGACATGCTAGTCAGACAGTGCAGAAACATGGTTTCTGTATGCCGAGGTAGAGCTTCGAGAGCACGGAGTGGCACATCCTCATTCTCGACTTCTTTCCGTCATATGTTCACTACCACGT